ATATTTCCCAAGCATGTTTACCTTGAGGAGGAGCCAGGAGGCTCAATCCATCCAGGAGAGCAAGAGGAGGAGGAGGAGGCAGGGCCAGGTATAGTCTAGGAAAGGACCACAGACCTTCTCAGAAGGTGGCTGGTGCTGCAAGGGGGAAATCAACCCCCCTGCTAGTTCCTACATCTTCAGGACTTGCAGTGAGTCCCATTTCACAAGGCTCTGCCAAAGGGTCTGGATGTGAGACCAAAGACTCTGCTTCGATTTTCATCCTGATTTTCCAGGAATACAAACATTTCTCCAGACACCACTCACTGCAAGAATCTTGAGCCCTAGATCTGATACAACAAGGGGTGCTACCACCACAAGTCTCTTTAAATCCTAATCAGTATATACTATCTAAAGTTGAGAAATTTCTTGCATTTGCTCTGGGTCTCAGAGGCAGAATGGGGTGAAAAACTGCTTTTCCAGTTCACCAGCTGTTCGCTATTGTCACCAATATTTTGTTTGCAAAGTCTTGGGCTCTTGGAGACAGGTGATTATGTGAGAATTTCAGCTTTTAAAAGTTTCCAGATTCCTCTCTGTTATGTTATTTATGGTGTTCTTAGGTGCTTTGGAGCCTGGTCGTGCCTTCAGTTCACCTTTGCCTTGATGCAACTCAACCACCTCCACCCCAGAGCTGGCCCCCGCTCTCCAACCAGCTCCATGCCCTCCCGTCCCAGCAGCACGCACGGCAGGATGGCATTGCCAAGGCGAAGAGAGGAGATGGCTTTCCCGGTGGCAGCTCTTTCCCCGCATCATTTCAGCGTTTATTCTCAAGCGTGCTCCTTGCAGTCTCGACAGGAGACTGCACAGGCAAAGACGACGTTTCCACGGCAAACACATTTCAAGAGGAAAAACACCACCGCCCTGAACACAGCTCTGTCTGAATCCCGAGGACATCGACAAACGGCTGCTGGCCCATAAGAATTCAAAGTATTTATCTAGACGAGCAGAAACGCAGCCTCTTAATGTCGCTGATGCAGGTGGCTTTGCTGGAAAGGGCTAGACCTGAAAATCAGGACACCAAGGTTTCAAGCCCAGCTTTCTCACCATGTGATCTCGTACAGGTCTTTCTCCTAACCAGCCCTTTGCTTTCCCTAATACACATTATTACCCCCATGTGACGATTTAATGACGATTTCAATGCAAATTAATTATTAAGGATGCTGGCATTTCCATTGCAGACCAGCCCCAAAGCACTTGCATCCAGTTGTACGCCTTAGAGACCGTCAAGTAATCTCTAAGCAAAGAGCAGAGCAATGCTGTTATTAAGGATTAACACTATTCAGCATTTAAATAGCATCATCCCTGTTTACAGTCTCACAGGTTACGAGGTCATTGTGACCACCCAGCTCAGCACAGCAGCTACCGAGGGCTGGAGGACCGGCTTCAGGACCGGCTTCTCAAGCCAAAGCGCTGGAACGGCAGCAAGGAACATGGAGACATCCCCAAAGCCAAACTTGGTCTGATGGAGGGGCTTTGGTTTTTTTTTTTTTTGCTCCAAAGCTGGGTCAGGTTACCAGGGGAAGCAAAAGCCTCATGGCTCCAGGGCAGGAGAAGGTGGAAACACCATCAGCCTCAGGCCAGCAGAGTCATCCCTTGCCTTTAAAGAGCGAGCAAGCAGATGGTGGGTTCGATAAGAGAAATCCTTGAAAGCCCCGTCTGAAACACCCGTACAGAGACATCACCTTGCGCTAGAAAGC